GAATTTTCTGTATTTAATGAAATTTATTCCATGTTTTTATGACTACATACAAGTACTATAGCTATGCTCATCGTCGGCGACGACGACGACGGGCCTACTGACGAGGTGCCGGAAAGGCGGGACGCAGCCTCGAAGAAGCGGCGCGCCTGTGTCACCAGACACGTGGCGGTACGCCCTAGGGTTGGGGTCTGCTACCAGACTTCTACCCGGACCGCTGCCGGAAGCGGCAAGGGCATGGTGGTCGACGGGGAAGACAGCGAGGACGGGGTGTCGAGCAGAGTAGCGGACGGCCTTATTATACTAGCGTAGGCGGTGACGTGTACTGTATGTAGACCGATGCTCGAGCGTTGAAGTCAGAGGGGGCGAGGTGGGGTACCCAGGGGGGGCGTTCAGGTGGGGTGGCAAAATAAGGTTTTCAAGACCCCTTGGTCTCGCGTCTTGGGGCGTAGTCCCAAGTCTAAGGCGTCTCGCTTTTGGCGTCACTCGGGTGTTCGGTCGGCGATATTCTGACCGTTGAGAACGAATTCAAAAGATGAAGGTCAAGACCCCTGACATCCCGGCTAATCGATGTCCTGGTTTACCACGGAAAAGAAATTGGCCTAGTGTAAGCTTATATAGCCCTCAACCATGCACGGTCGACCGGCATAATACATGTACTAGTCATAGATGCGCCACCCATATAACTCGCAAGCTCATCAAAGGTCTCCCGCTCGACCGTTCTCACAAGACCCACAAACATGGATCGACCAATGTAGAGCCACGTGAACGCCACAATGAGCATGACAACTCCGATGGCGAGGACAGCGTAGTTCATTTTTATCAAGTCCACGGGATATGAGGTAGGCAGGATGATGAGGACAAAATTGAATGCTCAGAACTTAGGAAAGGGGACTGGTGGAATGGCCAGGACTTGACGAGAGGGCCGAATGAAAGGGCACTGCGAACGTTAGTATGCTAGGAGCCCCGGCCACGGGAGAACGGCCCTCGCTCGTAAACCTGAATAAGAGGTTGCGTCGTCATTCTGCCACGTTGCTGAAAGTGGTACAGACTCAAGACCCGGGCCAGAAGCAGCGAACAGCTATCGGTTGGACATAGCTTGAGTTGACTGCTACAGACACAGACGATGAGATATCGTCGAACTACGAGGATGTCAATGTCGCGATGCAGACCTGGTCAGCAACATCACTTTCCGCAATGATGGAGCCAATACACGCGCAGGAGATGATGCACCCCACGAGCACCGACACCCACATGCCAAAATACGGCGCCTGATCCTTACACAAAGCCCTAAGCCACTCGCACATAGGCATTTCATTATCCTCTGCAAGCGCATAGCACAAGCGCGAGCTCGCCATGAACGCTGTCGCCGCCGTCATAAACTGCGCCGCACATATCTACACCAGGCACATCAATGTCAGCCTCTTCCCCACTGTGTCATATGGGGATCGGGTTTGACGTGCGCTGGACGGAGGCAAGGGACTGCGCGGAGGAGAGAAATGCGAGCATGAAGGCGAGGCCGATGCGCCTGGAGGCCGCGATGCTCGCCACACGTAAGGTGACGAGAGACAAGCGGCGTCGGGCGATTGGCGAGTAACACAGGAAATCAGTATCTCATTCAGCGCGTGGACTGTGCATTGACCCATCTAAGTAGTTCCGGACGCATCCAGGACGCGGAAATATACTTGTCCATACCTCATTTTGTGCCCAGCCTCGCCCCTCTCGCGCACCAGCGCCCCGAAGTCGACGTTCAAAAGGTCAGTTCATAGCGGAGATCGCGATCCCCGCGATGACCACAGGGAAACACGGCCGCCCGAGATATCCGAGACGCCGCCCCGCACCCTCGCCTCGAGATTCAAAGCATCAGAAAATACGCGTTAGCCGACCCGCGAGGCGCATCAGATTGACTCGCGCACTGATATTGATACCCTTCAGCAACGTGTTAGCGCAGCAATTAGCGCGGACGTTGTGGGTCCTTGATTATCCTTTAAGCGAGAGGGTGCGTACGATTAACCTTGCCTCGTGTTACTGAGACATTCGTGATATGGTCTGCTAGTATCGTCCATATGACCGCTGCGATCGAACATCGACGCTGGAGCCGCTAGACGCAGCCCTGAGATGCAAAACCAGAAACAAGTATGCTATGCATGCATGTCGATCGGTGGAGCTTTTCTGTATGTTTCGAGTTTCCAACTTTACCTGACGATGCCGGCGTTTCAAGGACATGACGCCATGGAACACCGGGAAAAGCAGGAGTAGGGCTTGACGTGGAGGCCGTAATGAACCTCCAGGCCGCGGAGATGAAGGTGTGGGCACTAGCGAATTTTCGGTCATCTGCTGCCGGCGGAGTGCCCGGTGAGGGGCCGTACTGGAACAAGGGCGGACAGATGAGTTGTGCGGCTGCTGAGTTGAATATCTGGCCCACTGTGGTCGGATGCAAGAGAACGTCGCCTTTAAAAGAGTCAGGTGATTTCTAACCGATGCCCAGTCTCTGCCGTGTCAGAGATCAGCGAAACCAAAAACATATTTGCTCTGCAACGCTCGATAGGCCTCGGCATTCGTACTAGCAACCGTTTAACTTCCCCGCTGCGCTATACGTTCCGTGTCATCGATCCCTATCTCATCTCCGAGGTCTGAAGGATTTGACGAGTCGCGGAAGGGTTTTCCAATAACGAGGCGGTGGAGAACAGCCATGCAGGCGCTGCGAGCCAAGTCAGAACCATCAACCTCCAGGCTTGGAAGACAACGCGAAACGCTCAGTGCAGGGGGAAGTTTCGCGGTCACCCGTACCGAGGCCGAGGTCCTTCCTTCGTTTCAGAGCAAGATCATCTATAGCAAAAGGCATTCTGGCGTTTATCGATACGCGAGGAGGCAAGGAGTCGGAGAGTCGCCCAGCCAGAACAAGGCAGCATAGATGAGTCATGTTGTGCGCAACAGTATATTTCGGGATGTTCGTATATGACGCACTGCGTTAGAGGCTAAGTAAGGCCGTCGCGGGGATGCATGGTAATTTTCGACAAGCTTTGAAGCACCGGAGATGAAGCGAAGATAGACGGCGCGGAACAGCAGCATTGGAGCGTCTCGATCACCCGCACCGAGGCCGAGGTCCTTCGTGCGTTTCAGAGCAAGTTACTTACAATACAAGGCACTCTGGTGTTTATCGATATCGGGGGGAGACGAGGAGCAGACGTCGACCGAGGCCACTCATCCAAGAACAAGGGCGCGTGGATGAGTCAGGATGTGCGCAGCGTTATATGTCAGGATGTTCACACATGACGCACCGGGGTCAGAAGGCAATTAGACTTGTGCTTGAGAGAGTTCACTCCGACTGAGGAAGCCATACTCGGGTTAGAGACAGCTGTTCGGATGTGTCCATGGTACATCCCGACAGGACAAGTTCCCTGCGCGCTAATGGCTAAAATTGCAACTGCAGATGAGAGTTAGATAATGATCGTCCGAGAAGGCGCCGCCGTCGTCGCAAGTGAAACAAGAACGGGAGTATTCAACGGCCATGCAGGAAAGCAACAGCGGTAGTCGTTGCTCGGTCCATAAACCGGCCTGGAAGAGGACTCGCTCATCAGATGATTGCAACGGGATAACGAAATGAAAGACGAGATTCTGCCACGGCGCTATCGGGCAACTTGGGCCCGCATGACGACGTCACTGTCGTCCAATTGCGAACCGGTCGAGAGGCGCGTGCCTTAATCATATCGTATGATTTGGTACATCCAGTCATGAAACATCTGTGCGTCGCGCAAATGGATGAAAGACGCGGGCGTTGCGGACAAAGTCGCGATGGGGACATTGGGCTTGGACGCAGGAAGCGACGGAATCGAGATCCATCGCAGCGTTCGGGAGGCGAGAAGCGCAGCGTCAAAGGCAAAAGGCACCGCAGATGAAAGGACGCACCGGGATCGGAATACAATGGCTGAAAGCAACTCCCAAAAGCAGTATAACGTCGTCTGGAGCAGGCCCCCCCCGCGGGATCTCAATCTGATCACGAATCTGCGCAAAGGTACACAGTGCCGGGCCTGCGCTACGCTTCTGGGCTGCGCACTGCACCTGCGAAAGGGAACTCTTGTGGGAAGGAAGCAGGCTCGGGCGGATCGCTCGCAGGGGGAGACGCTGGGAAGAAGCAGGCGTGAAGAATTGCCTTATCGGGCGACTAACGACGCTCCCGGAAAGGAAGGCGCGAGGTGATAGCGAAGGAGCCATGTGGCTGAAAGAGCACCAACTCGTTTTTCGCCAACAGCATCTGCTCTCGTCCAGGCTCTTGTTCTGAAAATGGCGGCTACCATCGTCTATATATTCGCTGCCTCGTGTCGATGTCGAGCACCAGCCCACCGCCTCTTCTGTTATCGACTAGCAGACCAGCCCAGCCTCGGCGTTAACCCCTCCTCGAGTCACCGACCCGACCTTCTTGCGCATTATCCTATTGTTGCGGTCACAGCGCCCGCCGTCAATCACTGCTTGGAAGACATCCTTTGTGCACTCGGCCCCGCAAAAGCTGTACAGAGCGCCTCCTGAAAATCCTTTTCTAGTCCATCTAATCATCGCGGCATTCGACTCGCGCACAAAGCACATATAATCTCTACGCGATTATAATAAATTACGCTCAAAATGTTCCAAGTGGCATCCCGTCCCCAGGCTACGTCCTTCCCGTCCATGTCCTCGCTCGCCGACGAGCTCCCCGTCTACGCCTCCTCGTCCGCCCTCGTCCACCTCCCGCGCAGCCTGCAGAAGCCGCAGTACAAGGAAATTAATAGAGACGCCCTCGCGTCCGTCGAGCCCGGTCTCCGCGACGTCCCGGTCGAGTACGTCCTCCGCGGGATCGCCAAGCAAGCATCCGAGTGAGTCACCCGCCCCCGAGAATCGCGTCCCCCCAAGCTAATCATACCCCTCCCCCCTCCCAGGATGCTCGCGGCCATCTCCGCCGTCAGCCAGTCCGTGCCCAAGGCGCTGCCGCGCACGGGCCTCCCCTCGGGCTTCTCCGCCTCCGTGCCACCGCAGGTCGCGCACAGCGCGCCGACGCACGTCCTCGCCGTCGCCTCCGCGGGCAACGCCGCGCCGAACGTCACGCTCATCCCGACGCACCACCTCGTGCTCGCCGCGCACTGCGCGAACGTCCCCGGCCTCCCGCGGTCCGCGCCGAGCAACGGCGGGCGCGTGATGCTCCCCGTCGTGCCCTTCACCGTGCCCTCCGCGAGCACCTTCGCGATCCTGCACTCGTACCTGTACACGAAGCGCCTCGACTCGCTGCTCAACGCGCTCCTGCCCCTCCCCGCGCACTTTGTCCCGAGCACCCTGCAGTCCGCCGCGCAGATCCACGGCGACGCGCGGAAGAGGGCCGCGCAGCACGTCGCCGCCACCCTCGGCTACTCCGCGGACCACCTCGCGCGGTACGTCGGGCTCGTGCACTCGCTGTGGAAGAATATCGTGTCCCTCGGTGTGTACGACAAGGAGCTCTGGCAGGCGCTCGACCTCGCGTGGGACGTCGTCGTCAACGCGGTGTACATGGCGAACGGCAGGCAGTGAGCGGGCAAGGGAAAGGAAAGAAAGGAATCGATCGCGCGATAAGCGGATTCTGCCGGCTGGTGTCGTCATAGATGCCTGCGTCGCTGGTCGACACTAAACTTCAAGGCCGATTTGGCCCCCTCGACGTTCATTCACTCGTTGATTCATGCTAGATTCTCTGCATCTACTGGAACTTCAAACGGTCTATCAGCTACTTGTATACTCGTTTATTCTCTCTACTGACTCAGCACCCGGACTGTATTATTCCAACGCCCTGTTGTTGTATGCTCCATGCTTCCATTCCGCATCGTCTTGTTCATTGTTCACTTAATACCCTCCACACAACTCATCACATCCTGTAGCACTTGTTCTCGTACCTCGTACCTCTATCTGGCTGTTTTCTGCATTGCATTGGATATTCGGATGTGTTGTCGACTTATCTTATCTCATATTGCGGTTCGTGTGGTAATTAATGAAAAGAAGTCGTCGTGCGTCTATCGCTCGCAGTTGGCGCAAATACTTGTACAGTAAGACGAACACGGTCGACTGGACTTACACAGTATGTCCAGAAAATGGCTCTGGCCTCGCACCTCGAGCAGGATCGTCTTGCGTTCGTCTTCACCTCCTTTTTTTTGGTTTACCAGAGTACTGGAAGTTGAACTGGAAGTTTTGGACGAGTGGCACTTCCTATCGACTGATCGGTGGCAAGCAGCCTCCGGATCCGGATCCGCCATGGGCAGTCGGCCATCCGGACCGGCGACCACCAAACGTGGCACGTGAGCAACGCGTCGCTGCCGCCCTCCAGCGCGGGAGATGTATCGAGGGACGTACGTACGATCTATCTTTCTGTCTATCTGTCTACGAGGTGTTAGTGATTGACCTGCAAGCCGCTGACGCACCTTATCACACTCGAGGTCGGTCAGGAAGTTACGGTCTGTGCCGTCGGACGCTTGTATTTCGGGAAACGTGTGGTTCGCTGTCACGAGGACCTGCTTCGGCGAGAAACGGTGCGGACGCCAGCGGATGGGCGTTGCTTTCGTATATCCGGGAGCTTAGAATCTAAACCCTCTTAGATTACGCCAGCGCATGGTCGAGAGCCGGAGAGACGACTTGACGGCAACGTGAGACACGCTGATTTCAGTCGAGGAGTCCAGTGGGTATTGGCCGCGCAATATACGAATACACCGCACAGAGATCCCCGGCAACCGAAGTTTATGCCCATAATGTCGCAGATCCTCCAAGAGTAGCGATTTCTGGACAGGCGAGGAGCGTGCAGCCAAAGGGGTAGACATGGCTGGTGGAGAGCCGCAACACGGATGCCGAAAACTCGCCAACGACAGCCTAGCAGACCAGCCTGACAGGACCGAGGAAGGCCCCGGAAAAGTATCATCCTCCCGTCAGGACAAGCCCATCGGACTCGAAATAAAAAACGGCTGCACCCACTTTGATCCCTCTCAAATGCGAGACTTCAATGCTTACTAGTATTAGACGTCGTGTGCACTGGGACTAGGGTCCTGGTGGAGGGCTTTCTGAAGATCTAGAGTGTACAGCAGTCAAGTGCGTCTGTATCACCTCTCCTCCCAAACGATCGATCTCCTGTCAAGACTGAATTCCCCGCTCTCGACGTGTCATGCGCTCAGCTTGGAAGGGCAGTGGTCCCTCGTGATTCATGATTCAATGAATGCAGAAATGCAGAGAGAGGCACATATATTAGCGACGCATAACGGACGGCCGTAACCAAGTCCATTGAGCCCCTCCGAGTGCGCAGTTTGAAGAGCCCGGACACGAGAACGCCGAGTCGGATGCGGTACAGACTTGGAATGAGTATTCTATACTTAGCCGTTCGGGTACAGGAGATGGGCGAACAAGTTGAAGGCTGGTGACAGGACAACTGATACAGGATGAGCTTCAAACGCACTGACAACTGCGAGCAGTGAGTATCCCGTAGAGGACAGATGTGATTGGCTGATCGCGAGCCGAGCGGCGTGGCAACGGTTTTCGGTCTCTGCCATAATCACATGTTGACTTCGTCTGGCAATCGAGCGTCCTCTACATACATGGTACAGACGGCTAGCCAGTCGGCTACTAGGGCCTTGACATCTCCTCTACTCACTTATAATTTGCATTCGACACTACCACCGGATCCTAGCACAGGTAAGCCTACATCTTATCTTGCCGCACCAGACATCACGATGCCATTGCCTGGAGTCAGGACCAAAGCGTAGGGGTGTGCCGATGGTCTCACGTCAAAAGAGTATTTTATATGATCAGACGTTGGTGAGCAAGGAGACCAGTCGACGTCTTTGCCGTACGCAGCGCACTGCAAGTATAGGTCCTTCCATGACCAATATTACATGTGATCTCAGCATGTGGTAGGAAAATGATTACATCAAGGTAATAGAATCCGCGTCGATGAGGTATGATAAAGGCCTTCCATCGCGTTCCACTGAAGGGCTGACTAAACAGAAATCGCTCCCAATCAAACGACTGTGGGAATTGACCGCTTGTGCCCCTCATGCGGATAAATTCTTCTGGGGTGTTGTCTCCAAGGCTAATGCCTCCCCTTCTCTATCCCCCACGGGGAGGTCCTCCCAAGTCGCAGAAAACTCTGCGTCTTTGCAGTTCACTGCCCAAGTACTGATCTTGTCGCTGGAGGTCCAGTACTGGCCTAGCTTGGCCAGCCTGCGCCTGAAACGCCCAACTTGATGCAGGCGAAAGTTGGCTAGCCAGGAATCCCCTCGTTTCGCTAGCTCAAACTCGGCTCCATGGAGCAGATCACCGAACTTGTTTACCGAAAGATAATATGCAGCCGCAGACACACTGGTAAGCACCTCAAACGACAAGGCAATATGCCTTTCGCTGGTCACTGAGACAATATGCTGAAAGATCGGCTGCATATATCTCCAAGGTGAGATATCTGTCTCGGCAGGGAACAGTTGTTCTGCGATCTCTGGTACTGGTGTCCTAGTGGGTCTCGAGGGAGCATGATCGATGTTCCACAGGGCACGAAGGCATGCTTGAATATCACGGTGTTGAACAATCTCTGAAAATTTCCAAGGTCCTTATTAGCGACAAGGCCATACGGTATTGACCGGAAGTGTTGACTGCATCCGCTCGTGAGAACAGATCTTGGCGCCAGATCAGTCTCACGTCACCAGCCATCGCATTATGCGGCGCAGAAGGGGATCACGTTTCAGTATTGTGATTGTAGTCCTCCTCTGTCTTTATGTCGGGAGAAACAGCAGTGTTCGTATAAGTACAAGGCTTCGCGTCCATCAAAAAACTTGGACCCCCGAAGTACAGTCACGACTTCATCCTTCAGAAATAGAGCGTAGGTCAGGATGACATTGATTCTTCCACGCAGTCATGCTTATGCATATATTTGTTAAGCTTGGCCATGGAGCTGAACACGCCACTTGCAAACAGCATTCAACTTTTAAGGTGCTTCTGGCTTTCCAAACTGCATCTTCAAGGCGCGTCGTTCCTAGCCTGGAGGAAGAAGAGGTTAGCGAGAGAGATCTACGGCTCACTCTGCTCAATGGTTTGGCCACTCTACTGTGCACCGGCGAGAACGGCCGTTCGTTGGCCGTCACGATGGAAAACACGGAGGATGGGCTTCGGTTAACCCTTGCAACCGCTGCCGATACCCTGGATAGTGAACGTGAAGCCGCCGATAAACTCTTTCGATTATTGCAAGATGAAAAGACCGACATAGAGAGTCTTTTTAATACTGCCATATGCAGCGGCGTGGAGCGGGTCAAGAGATTGATCAAAGACGTAAAGACGAATCCCGAATTGTTCCCGGAGATGTCCCTCATAGATGAGGTCAACCCGTGGCGGAGATGCGAGGAGGAGATACCAATGGTTAGTCGGGCGCGGGAGCTGTGTGGAGAGGAGAGATCCTTGCCCCAAGCAGACCTTCTGAAGCGACTCTTCATCTCACTCCGCAAACAAATAGATTCCCTGGTCGGCACAATCACGCCAGAGAACATCAGGGGTACAAGGATGTTGGCCCAAGTATACCGCGTTTCTTGCCTCTGCGACATCTTGGGGCGTTCGAGGTTCTTCCGCCGCGTCACTAGATTAAATATCTTCGAGCCCCTCAGTCATCATGCTGCAAGTCTCATGTCCGCACTGCTGGTTCTCGGCAGATACTCTGGTGCCGCCGCGCGACTCTCGAAAAGGGTTCGCAACATGAGAGGACCCATCAGCTATGTATGGGACACAGAGATTGCTACCCCTCCCGCGCCCAAGGAGCTGGTCCTCGACCCTACTGCATACGAAGCTTTGAGGGCGGGTGAGTATGTAGAAGCCACATCGGGCGAAGAACGAGACCGTCTCGTTCTTCGGTGTGACACCGACGAAGCTATAGTAGAGTCAGAATTCAAGGAATCCTCGTGGAAGAACCGAGTCACGGTCTTCCTCCACCCCGAGCTGCGATTCATAGTCCTCGCGAAGGATACCACCGAGCGCATCTTAGGTATCAGCGACGATCTCTGCTTTCATGCAAGCGGTGGATCAAATATTACAATGAATCCACTGAGCGGAAGTGGATCGTCCGCCCGGGACTCGACGTACCGGACCCTACTTGGATGTATCCCCAGAAGCATCCACTGGAGCAGCAGATTGAGCCACTTATTTCCGAGTGGACCGACACACTGGTCCAATTCCGTCTTGGTGGTCTATCGTTCCGCCGCGCATTGCTCTTATGGTAGTGATGTGCTCCTGATATACCGTACTCAGTATGGTTTGGTATATACTAGAACTGTTGTTCGAGATGCTAAGTGAAGTGATTCGGAATGACTCAAGTGAATTGTCAATACGGCGAAAGCGTACAATTATCTGTGATTACTATTCCATCTTATACTGGGCCTGTGCGGATTCTGAGCGTAAATACATACCGAAAAGATATAATATCAGCCCGACTTCTGTGCATGGCATAAAACTTTTTTCTGGCCTAAACTCAAGTTCGAGAATATGACATACAGCGGACGCGTAGAGGAGGGACGTCAAGGTCGTCACAAGGTTAGGGTTCCCCGATAAGCTCCAGTCCTCCCATGAGTCCTGTCCAACCGACGATAAACAGGCCAGGGTCAACCTTATCATGGTCTCCAGCAGCATCCACTTTTCCTGCTCTCCCCCCTCCCGAGCCCGAAATGTCCTCAGAGAAAGTGGGATACCGCGACGACCTAGAGAGCGTGCCCTTCCCGCAGCCGCTCCCCAATGTCGAGGATGAGTCGGACAAGCGCCTGCGCGACCTGGGGTACAAGAGCGAGTTCCGGCGGGAGATGAGCTTGTTTGGAGTCCTGGGCATATCGTTCTGCGCGATTGGGATCCTGACGGGGATGAGCAGTGCGTTTCAGACGGGGCTGTTCTCGGGCGGGCCGCTAGGGTTGTTTTGGGGGTGGAACGTGAGTGGTTTCTTTCGTAGTGCTGTATTGGGGACAGGAAGTGACGGGTGATGTGGATGTGGGGTAGATATGCAGTTTGTTCATGCTGCTCATCGCGCTGTGTCTCGCAGAGATTTGTAGTGCATAGTGCGTGGACCCTCGTTTGGCATATGCTCGGGACGCAACCACTAATCACTGGGATTATGTAGCCCGACCATGGGTGGTCTCTACTTCTGGGTGTGCAAGATGAAGCCCGACATACCCGCGCTTGGCTGTACGTATTAAATGGCTCCACTCAAGTGCCGCGCCTCGGTCTGACCAATACAAAGTCTGCACGGGGTGGATCTACTCGATCGCCATGGTCTTCACTGGTACCTCGGGCAATCTCAGGCAAGTATCTGTATTACCACTCACTGCACCTTCTCGAGACTGATACAATCATACCATTCGCACGTTCAAGCGTAGCGCTATACCTTGCGTCGCTAGCTGAGGTTGGCCAAGGTAGGACCTTGACGAGAGTGGAGATCGCTGCTATTGCTTGGGGCGTGAATATTCTGTCAGGTATCATTAATACAATCGGCACCAAGGCGATCGGAGGGATGAGTTCGTTTAATGTTTGGTGGACGTTAGGAGGGACGTTCGTCCTCGTGATAACGCTTCTCGTGAAGGCGCCTGTAAAGGTACGCATGCGCTGTTTCCCATTTCTCCCCCACGGTATGTGGACGGATGTCGCGCGTAGAACTCGGCGGGATTCGTATTCACCGACTTCGAAAAGTACGTATCCCCGATGACATGCACTCTCAATTGTACTGAACCGCAAAACGGCCAGCTTCACGGGCTGGAGCTCCCGCGGCTTCGTGGTTCTCCTTGGTTTTCTCCAAGCCGTCTATACCCTCGAGGGCTGCGAGACCGCAGCGCAAGTCGCGGAAGAAGCCAAGAATTCCGCCGTCCTCGCCCCGCTCGCCGTCGTCTTCTCCATTGTCGGCTCCTGGCTCATCGGCCTGGCGTACATGCTGGCACTCCTGTTCTCCGTGCAGTCTATCGCGTCCGTCCAGAGCACATCGTACGCGATCCCCATCGCGCAGTTGTACTACGACGCGGTGGGGAAGAGGCTGACGCTGATGTGCCTGGTGGTGATATGCGCGGCGCAGTTTATGGCGGCGGTGACGGCGTTCACGGCGAGCTCGCGGTTGTTCTATGCGCTTGCGAGGGATAATGCGATGCCCATGAGGGGGCGGTTTATGGCGCTGAATAGGAATCAGGCGCCTTATTTTGGCGTGTGGGTGTCGGTGCTGATCGGGTGCATCATCTCTTGTGCGTATATAGGCTCCACCGTTGCGGTAAGTTATGCTATCTCCCAGCTGCGCTGCGTGGAGCTGACGATGTGGGTAGTTCAATGCCATTCTGTCATCCGCGGCCGTAGCTGTTATGCTGAGCTACCTCCAGCCCATCCTCATCCGCTGTTTCTGGCCCGCATCGTACGTTTGCAGTTATCTGAGATGTATTGCAACAGTATAATGACGCGGGCCGTCGTCAAGGCTGTCCGAGCGAGGACCGTTCTCTCTCGGCCGGTATTCCTGGGCGATTAACGTCGCAAGCGCCCTAGTAAGCCAGTTATCCACCCCTGTCGGGATGCTCACTAACATCATATCGCCATGCCCGCAAGTTTACCGTGTTCATCTGTGTCTTGTTCATTCTGCCTACCTCCTATCCGGTGAATTCGATCAACATGAACTATGCTGTCCTTGCGATCGGGGCTGTGATGCTCCTCGTGACATTTGCGTGGGTGGCGTTCGGGAGGTACAGGTTTGTCGGGCCGGTGCGGACGGTGGAGGAGGATGTGAAGGAGTGATGTACATATATGAAAGCATGTGACTGCCAAGGAGGATGAGAGGGAATAAGCTTGGGTTACTACGTCTGGGTGATCGAATTGGTGTGCATGGATGCAGGGAATGCAGGCCATTTTGGACGGTTCGGGACCAGTGGGATCTAGCTTATAGTGACTTGGGGGCACTTACTACAATACGCACATTGAGTCAGCCGAGAAGCATGAGATAATTGAGACAAGGATCAATGTTTTGTTCACGACCGAAGAACGATCATTAATACAGATCATGTTCGGTGCAAGGGTTAGATTTTGCTCGCGTAAGAGGCAGCATTGTTCCATTTCTGTTGGACAACTCTGGGACGAAAAATCATACACAAAATGGTAGGTTCCACGTGAGTTCTTCCATGCTCAATACGGGTACTTGATGTATCCAGTGGCATGTGATTGGTCAGCGCAGGACATTAGGGACCACAACGGAAAAGAGGGTCACTTCCCCCATCACCGCTGACTCAGTTTCAGTGTGAACGACTACTATCATCCACCCTCGAGGGCTGCTGCTAGGGCGTAATCCAGAGGAGAGACACCGGTGAGGGAACACGAGTCACGGTCACACGTGTCACGTGCCGTCTTCGACCGCGGCAACGTGAGAAATTAGTCTAGTCTCTTGCCACAACACGCGTTCCTCGCGCACCACGATTGGTGGCGACGCTCATCAACACGTGTGCTGTAAGGTCACACAGAAGCATTCAGTACAATGGACAATGAACAGCGGACTTCAAACTCCAACGATTTAACAAGCTCGGTGGGTGGCCGTCGCTTTTCAACCTTCTTCCTTGCTGACTGTTGCACCCCCAATGTCTGAACCTGCTGCGACACCACCTCCGGATACTCCTCTGCCTGCTTCCCCGTCTCCCCCACCGCTCGATGATGTCGTGGTGCCTATACCGGGCACATCTGCTCTGGCGGATGTCAATGCCACACCGGCCGCTGGCGACTCTGCCGGCGACGTTGAACGTCCTCATACACCACCTGCCAAAAATAATGCTCCTGTACTATTCAATACTCCGGCATCCCTCCCATCCGAACGACCGCTGTCCTGTACGCGGAAATTTCAGAGCCAGACTCTCCCCATCAGCACGCTACGGACAGAAGCCGGAAGTGAGGCCTCAAGGCTACGGGTTGGACCTGTTTCCATGACCGACTTCTTGCGCATTACGTTTCAACGTCAATTCGAGAATGTGGTCGAGAATGCCTCGCAGGCAATATCCCCGAACGCTCAGATCGGTGTCTCAGCGAAGTTGCAGAGCGTGCCGACGGGGGACGGGGTCGAACTTGAGATGTATGAACCCCTAGTACGTAATGAAATAGTTTTTTGACGCGTTAGCACTGACCCATAGTCCCTCCGGCAGAAGGAAGCGCTGAATAAGATGTGCTCGTCTCTTTGGACAGAGAACCCTCCCATCGAAT